AGGTATGTATCTTATGCAAGATTGCCTGCTTGCGAATGGCGGGGCGGCACGTGCCAGAGATCTTATTTGCCAGATTTATAGCTACGCCCAGGTCCAGTTTGTAAATTGGGCCTCGAAAAGGAACGTGAACGAGAAAGAGGCGAGCCGAAGATGTCCAGTGAACGAATATGATTGTCCAAGTAATGCCCAGTTGGTGCGTCTGCATTGCGGCTACTTGTTGGTCTATAGACAAGCGTTTACGCAAAGCTGGTGAAAGCGAAAAATGAGAGGTCAACTTTGTTTGCTTCTTACCTTTTTCTTCTAATTGCTGCCATGCTGGTCTGTAGACAGTACCCGAAACTTGGACAGACCGGCTTATGCGATCGGCAAACTGTCTCAAGCAGTAGATTAGAGCCAGCATCAGAGAAAGGACGAATGAGAATGGACACTCAAGGAAGTGGAGAATAGAGAAAGGCCTGAGAGTGGAGCGAGATGGTTAATCGTATTCTATTTAACGAGCTACTATGGTTCTAAAGACCGGAGAACCCCAATAAACACACATTGACTTGGCGCTTGGCAGTTTACGCCGACCGATTCGAGCCGTCTCACACAAAGGTCTCAATAAAATATCACGAACTTAGGGTAGATCTAAATTATGTAGCTCTGAGGCCTCAGTGCCAGATGTGGGGCATACAGCTAAACCAAGCCAGGCAGGGCAACAGACACTCGACTGACTGAAAGACCAATGGAAACAGGGTCGACTCGGGCGGAAGTACCGAAAAAACAAGGTTCGCTCAGAACTTACTGGTTATGCAGGAGGAGAACTCAACAGTGAATACAAGTGTCAATGATGGAGATAAATACCTTCAAAAAATATATAATTTCGTATCTTGTGGTATGTATTAGGCTTAGGAAGCACCCAGGGTGGAGTACAGTTTAGATATTTCCAGTGTTTTATCACTATCCTGAGCGAGTTTGAACCTGGATGTGCGGTTTATAAGGCCAAAAAATTTGCATACATTACGAAAAGACACTAGAGACTTGACTTTCTAGGCAAGTTTGGCTTATCTTGACTTATCTTTACGAGGGGGTAAAGTATTTTCCTTGCACACCCTCGATTCGAGTTCCGCTTCTAGCGCAAATGAGGCAAAAGCAAGATTGAAAGTTAAATCTAGCCTGAACGAGTATGACTTTTTTAAATGTACTGCGCGGTAAATTTTAATGCGAAATCAAGACTTGAATTCCTTCTGTAAATTGTCACGAAACTGGTGCATATTGACAAATGTCCGATTGTTTATTGCTGCCGCAACAGATTATTTCCATCTCCGCATTGTCGCCAAGTATATAGATGTATTAATATTCGATTAAATGAGTCTAACCATGTAACCCTGACTAATCTCTGAAATGTGGAGGCGAAAAACATCCGCAGACATTTCGACGGCGCCATTGTTAGCACAGAGTTACAACTTACCAAAGTGACCACTTTCTGTCCAACCGTTGTGGCATCACTCCTCGCCACTATTCTTCGTCCTGACCTCTAGTGCTGCACCTCTTTCCCTCAAACACACTTCATATCGTCCATTTGCCTATTCACACCATTCTGTGCTCTCGTATCCTTTAATCTTGCCGGAAAGTGTG